GCATGTGGGAACGGGTTGGTTAGTTGGGGGGCTGTGAGAACATGATGGGTATAGTCCCGCAGGGATGTTTAGTTCTAATGGCGTCATTGTCAACTACTGTACTTTTCACTCAAACCACCCAACATCTATTTTATAAGTGGTAAAATAAAAATTGGCGCAGTCAAGTACCAATCAAGGATGACCTTTGACTCTAACATCAGTCAGTCAAAGGGGGGGGGGGTAGGAAGGGGAGGGGAAAGGTGGGTTGAGAGGAAGTGATTTCTGTAGTATTGTAGACAATCGAATAATTATAAACTTGTTATTCCAAACTCCAGACTCTCAACTACTGAAAAACGATATACAGTGGCTTTGATGGCGAACACGTGGACAAATATTTCACTTTCCATCAGAGAATTAACCTGTCTTTCCTCTTTTAAATTATCCTTTAAAGACGAATGAAACTCATAAAACATTAGCTGATAATGTTATAGAAATGTGTGAGCCAGTTAAAAATATCTTGAAATTACTCATAGTTGCAATGAAAACAATCACTCCAAAGTTTGCAAGGTCCTTGCGAGTCATTGTCCCATTGGAGTCGCCATTTTTAATTAATATAGTGATGTCAGAGTAGTACCACTTGTGAGATACCCACTGAATTGTATTATGTAGGACACTCATAATAGACACTCACACGAAGGCCGCTAATTCTATCGACAATAAATAGCGTTTACGTCATTTGTCCTGGCAGCCGACGAAAATACCTGTTTATCAAGTCAAAGAAAGAAGTTTCCGTCATTATCATGACACCTCGTTTAAGTAACGATTGAAAGGGTACTGGCTAGTGGTTTTGTTTATTGAAGAGAAGCTGTAAAAATGGACACATGAATGACTTCTGTATGTTTAATAAGTATTAACGTAAGTATTATAAATATAAATAATCCGTTTTTGTATGTTACATATCGTAAGTTGATATGGGCATATCGCCATTATGCACTTTCAAAGTGTTTTGGAAATTACATCGACGTTAGATTCGATACCAGTTATATAATCCATTTTCCAACCAGGTCGAGAGATAAATTATAACCAAAAACGCTTTGTGTTCGGACATGAGCACCGAGCAAGGTGTCGAACCTTCCACCTTGCAGTTGAGAGTCAATTAACCACTGAACCTATAGTGCTCCTACAGGTGAATTTACACACAGTATTGAGACACCAACTAGTGGTATATAGACGAACGTCAATAGGGTGATATTTGTTGATAAATGATTGTGAGGAGAAGAGAGAAAGTGAACAACACGGGGGAAAGAAAGGAAATAAGCCTATGATAGAGAAAGAGAGATACAGATGAGAGATTAACAGGGGGATTTAGGGATTGTGGTAATAATAATAATAATAATAACAATATTTATAAAGCGCAACATATCCATCTCTAGAGATGCTCAAGGCGAAAACAAATAATTTAAATTAATATTCAACATACTTAAGATAGTGGATCTTTAGCGGAGAGGAAGGGAACGAGACATGAGAAAAAAAATCTGAATCATTTTTGTAACACTTTTACAAGGAATCGGTCTCGTTTCGTACCGCTAACGTTACTACCATCCCCATAAAGACTCAAGGAAGAGAGAATGAGAGGTAACAAACGGACAAAGTGCATGTTATGTGAATTGGATTGGTTTACCCATTTACTAATTGACTGCTGTATTGTTACTACACCATAATACGGTTCTAAGATTCATCCACGAAGGCAATTTCATCTCATGATTGGTCTAAGAATCGACGATTCATTTTCAGCTCTTAGCATCCCAATCTAATAAAGCACCCTCTATTATACACTCTCCCTCCCCGCGTCCCTACCTACTCAAATCAACTCATAACTGGTAACTCCTTGCTCAAATCTTGACCAACATCACACAATACACCTCCCATTAATTCCAAGTTCAGCGCACTAAAGCACACTAAGAATCTACACAATTAGAATATTAAATAAATGAAGAAAATTTTCTTTCCCGAAAGCAAACTTGATTTCGCAGTTCTATTTTCTTCACCGAACGATCCATCCGCGAAAAATCTGCGGTTACGCTGGACGAATACGATTACAATAAGGACGAAAGAAGATGGAGAAATTGTGTAAAGGGTTTGTACGTACACGTAACACCCTGGAGATTAGAGGCAAATTGAAAATCTCGTACTAACAATTATTACCGCTACAGGGTTCTTATTGTTTAAACGCTAATAACCGATACCCAAGAACGCTTTACTCAATCCATCATGATACATACATTGGAAATCCCCTAGCTAATCCGCAATGCAGCCATCAATTAGAGTTTGCTACAAGAGTTTTCCAATCGTAGTCGAAAGAAAAATACAATTAAAATCTTCTCGTGATTTTGTTGAGGAGTTCCTTTCACGTTGCAATGCACTTCAGTCGTTGTACTAATGCATATACCTTGGGAGAATTATGTTTCTCAATAATAGGCACTTGGTTCAAAAAGCTGAAAATTAGTCCTTTGACTACCGTTACAATTTGATTTCCCGAATGTTATAAATGTAAGAGGCAGAATGCATGCACTGATTGAATTAGGAGCTAGATCATTCTAATCCCCATGTACTAATGGTCTTATACTCTGGTAGCCATACTATTTCTTAAATTATCGTAAAAGTATTAAGCGACTTAAATAGTTGCAACGCACTCCCAGGAATACCTTGATTGATAAGAACATTCGACATGTATATTTCCCTAAGTACATAAGCGCTTTGGAGCTGAAATAAAGCAGCTTTATTCACTAATGACGCTTTTAAGTATTACAGAATCACTTCTCTAATACGTAATTGTTGCTACACACTTTGGAGCTGAAATAAAGCAGCTTTATTTACTGATGACGCCTTTTAAATATTATAGAATCACTTATCCAATACGTAATTGTAGCTACACACATTTGGGGGAATTGACACTTAACTTTGAGTATGTTTTCATTTTTTTTTTTCGCTTAATAGATTATCATAAGTACTTGGATGAATTGTTTATTATTTTGTTTAAGTGTCAATGACGAATTATTTGATATGCTAAAACCTTTTAAAAATCGTGAGATTGGACACTTTACATGTTTTTTCTTTATATTTGTACAAACAAATATAATCAACGACTCTCTTCCCCCTTCTCTCTCTTTCTCTCTCTCTCTCTCTCTCTCCCTCGTCCACACCCTCTTTCTCCTCATCCCATTCTCTCCCATCTCTTTCTCTCTCTTCTCTCTCACGATCTTATCCGTTTGTAAGTGTGTATAATAACCAATGATGTCTTTTGAACAAATACCTCAATATGAGGATGTATCATATTAAGATCCAGTCAGATTTTTAAGCCTCGTCGATGAGAATCTAATGTATATATCAAAGGTGGAATAATATTCTTTCAACAACAAAAAACAAACAAACAACAATAAGCAAACACTAAAAAGACAGAACAGTTGCTCTTCTTTTCATTGTACTCTAGAAAACATTTTTCTTCTATTTTATACAAATCCTTGGTTACAATTACTTTCTCTTGTTAAGGTGGGTGTTTTTGTTGTTATTTTTTTAAGGAATGGCATCTGTAAACCAATTACATTTATATGATATAATTGTAAATGTATGTTCTTTGTATTATTTTTAAAAAGTTTGTTAAAAAGACAAAAGTAGCATATAATTTATAAACAGATACACTAAATTGTTTGGCAATGAAGTTACGTTCCCAAATGAAGCGGCATGGACGCATAATTTCAATCTTATCACTAGTAATGATAACAAAGTGATTCAATAAGTTTTTGATAATACGAAATTATAGAATGATAGACTAATGTCTCAGAACCTATACATGCACCAGCAATATTTTTACCAGGCTTTTTTCAACAAACTTATATAAGGAAAGGGTAATGTATAAGTGTAATAGGTCCAGGGTTCAAGTTAGCAATTTGCTTAGGGTTAAAAACTGACAGCAATTTCTCCTGAAGCATGTTTCGAAGAATCCCCGGATTCACAAAAGTGATTTTCACGATTGCAGACATTGTTTTATACAATGTCTTCAAGAAAAAGCAATTGCAAAACAGATACCTTCTAAGATGCCTGGTTCTCTTGATTAGGTGAATTATACAATTAAGTCTAAACATAGCTGGGCCAATTAATAAACAGTGATCATACTTCATCATTGTTTTATACATAAAGCGTTAATAAATCATTTAAAGAATATTTTGTTTAAAAATATGAATCATTTTATTCACGTTTTCCCGAACGGCTACAATGGCAACAACTTGCAACTCTGCGAGAGCATAAGCTCACCTATATATCACTACTGTGTTGAAACGAGGTGGACGGATGATCTTAGCTTTACAAATTATACATTACAGATCAACAGCTTATACATATTATGCTTCTCTCGCGCTCAGTATTTATTAGTATTAAAGATATTAATAAGATTTCAGATAATGAATTTTGATAAAACTTGTCGGTTTTATCAAATGTGGGATTTTCGACATGTCACTTAGTGTTAACAGCTCGTACTCTCTTAGATATCAACTGACTGAAAACAAACAAACAAAATGACTCAAACAATCTAGAAAGAGAGTGGTCTATAATACGCCATCACTTGGTTTTAACACAATGTAAGAAATTGTTCAAAGGTAAAATAAATAAATGAATAAATAAAAGTAAAAAAGAAACATATTATCTGTGGTATTTCATCTTGAAATGAATCTATCAACATTATTTCTTTAACCACCAGAGAAACAAACTTGGATCGAGAGATTTACGAAGGATAAAAAGTTAACTAAATCTTGCATTTTACAAGACACATTAGTCTGAATTAAGAACAGGTTATGTACCTTCAGATATCAATACTTTATCATTGATTTAAAAGACAAAGTTTTGCAAAACATTCCAATTTTTTTCTTATTCAATTTTACAGGGAATGGCCTTGATAGCGTTAGTAGAAAAATTGAAGATAATAATCAATGTAATGATAAGTGTGATCAATTTGAAATTCGTCTTACCGTTTCTCGAGTCTGCTAACGGTGGTAGACCAGTTGGACTTCGTGCTTGTTGTACGAAGCTACTGTGCATGGCTAAGGCTGCCAGAGCAGCGTGATCGTAGCCTACCGAAGCCTTGGCGGCAGCGAAGTAAAGCGAGGCGGTGGACGGATGAAACCCGGGTATGCACGATGCTACACTCGCCATGGCTGGATGACCGGCTGCCGCAGCCGCCATCAGCGGGGAGATGAGCGGTCGTGATGGGATGAATTCCCGAGATTTCTGCTGCTCTTGACGACCAAGCCCCAGGAGTTCATGGATAGCGAACGATGATCGTTGATGACCAGGGGAAGTGCCATGAATAGGCGACGTCGCCGCAGGAACAGATAGTCGAGGTGGACCATGACTACTAGGTAGCGAGATCGAAGACGTCGACGAAGTTAGCGTTTCACCTGTCATTGTGACAGTCCCTTATATCTAATTTTAAAGTATATATTATCTGAATCGTTAAAATGTCAAGTAAATGAAGAGTTGTAGTTATTTTCATTTGTCATGTCACAACCGATTTAGGTAGTCTAACGACGTGATTGAGAATGTCAGAAAAACCGTCCTTCGTTACTTTCTACACAAGATAAAGACATGCCCAACTGTGAGTGTTTCAACAACAACTCAGCAAGAGCCAGCAGAAAGCACTCGATTAGAATTGTAAGCTGAAAATGTGAAAATCCGGAAGTAGAAATCTTTGAAATGATGGCGAAGATTGAGCAAGAGTGATAGCTAAGACAGCTCTTAGGAGACAGAATCACCAACCCATCGAGATGAGATGATTTATATAGCGATTGATCGAAGGAGCAATGGTATTGTGGTCTCACGGCGGGGGGAGCTATTGCGAGATGAGTGGAGGAATCTTCTAATGACAACTCCCTCCGTCTTTGAGTTACACATCAAGCCTTTAACTCATCGACTCCAAGTAGCCTACTCCAAAATAGTAGTCAGCACTCTTTCTCCTAATTCCTCGATTAGCGAGTAACTGTGATGCTCGACAATACAAGAGTATTATTGGTGTTTGTCACTACTTAAAAGTAATTAGCTATTGTCTAATCGCTCGCTAATGATTGCGTTCGAAGTTGAATAAAAGAGTAGCCCACCCAAAAGTCCGGACTCCCGCCACCTTTCTCTCTTTCGACCAGTGTCAATCAGTCTTACCTATCAAACCAACCGAGACGGGATACACATACAACGTCCCTGTATCAAGACCGCTGATTGGATGAAATACCAGTGACGTAGAGTTATGTACGAGTTTACGAGGAGGCGGCGTGCGCATTCAAGCGGTAGTCTGCTCGGGAATGGTGCTGCTCGCACTCATAAATGGATATTAATGGAATATAATAGACAGAAAGGTCGATGGAAATAAAGCATGACATTCAATTTACCACCAAGAAGGTCCTTAAGTTTAAGTTTTTAAGAGTAAATATCCTTCCAAGAACACATGTCGTTTAAAATCTGAGTGTCAGACATTTAAAATCATTAACTAAAGTTTGTATCACTCTTCGCATTACAAGAACATGAATTGCAGATTTGAATGAAATTCTCCAATTGACAATATAGTAGGTACATGTATAGGGCAATACAATCCTTTTCCCCTTAATTTAATTATAAAAGTTATTTGTACTACTTTCTTTCTAATAGCGATTACAACACGTGTACTGTCCAACAAATATATTTTGAGGCAATAAACGTTTTGCTTAAAAATTCACCCTCAACACTTTGTCATCCATTTGTAAGTGATAATAACCAACGTAATTCTACGATGCAGAAAACACTGCATTATCTCACTAATGAATCTCCTGCTGTATTGACAGTTTAAAGGTAGATGTAGATTTGATATGCCTTGAAAGTAATTTTCTATCAGTTTCACCAATGATAGAAGAGAATTGTAAGCGATTTTTATTTTTTTCTCTTTTTTTTATTGAATCAATAAAAAAGAATCAGATATGAAATTTGTTGTATCATTTTGTTCTATGTCTTCACACAAAAACGCTTACTGCTTGGTTGAAACTTCGTAACATAATATTTTGAAAATATTTATATTATAAGTTAAAAGTGAATTTAATCTGGCCTAAGATTGTTCATGGCAACATAATTGATTGTCTGGTAAATAAAAATCATTCCGAAAATCATTTTTTTTCATTCGATCGTCTTGTTTAAAGAATTCTAAAGTTCGCCGTTGAACAAATTCTAGAACAAAAGAGATATCAAATATTAAGTGGCACACCATGCACAATTCGAGGATGCATTAAACCATTTTATAATTGAATAGCAATAAATAGAACGTGTGCATTCAGAGTACTTTCACACTATTACTACGTTCTCTGATACGAATAAATTGAGTGGCAATTCATCTTTCTATTGATTTTCTGCGTATTGACCTTGTGAAATCAATTGAAATAATGGTATTTTTGCTTCGATGAAGCCGTTTACTATTCCATCAAAAATATATGGTACCAAAGAAATGACCTATTTTTAATGGTTGAAGATGAGTTTTGATTTTAATATTTAATAAATGCTTAAAACAAGTGATTTAAAGGAATGGTGAAAAGGAGGTTAAAAAATATGACACACTTCGTTCAGTTTAAAAAAAGCGATTTTATTAGCTTACAAATATGATCAAAATTATTGGAATCCTCATCTATTCCATTAAGTGTAAGACTTTTTGAAATATCATATGCAGTTTCTTATTAATGTCAGGGAGAAAAAACGAAATCTCGAGAGAATGAAATAATGACCCATACACACACAACAAATTATTGACGTTCTTAGCTTTAAATTTCATGAGTCTGCTATCATGCTTGTCAAAGGGATTGTTTTTGCATAATCATTTTCCATTTACCTTTTTTTTGTGTACATTCAAAGTTCGTAATTCTAAGATTTTGAACGGATTAATTTTTTAAACATTTTTCTATCATTTATCTTTACGATCACTGTCTTGTCCTGTGAAGCAGAGTTATAGCCATTATATTAAGAAGTGAAAGAAAATAGTATTTTTATCTTGTTCAAAATTCCTTTTCAATGATTTTTTTTTTCCTTTCCTTTAGCATTCCATTTCTTCCGACATTGTTCAGAACCGTTGCGTGAAAACTGGTATAACAGACAGCAAGTTGACTGCTAGCATGAGCATTAATTGCGATGCTTCTTGACGTATTGGGGAAAGGCAATTATCGCTCTCAGACCTATGAATATAAATAATTCCCCCCGCCAATAATAGCCCAGGGGTAGGACAGCCGATTAAACAAAATGGTTCGGTCAAGTGGTGTTATGTCTTACTGCCGCGACAATGTTTGTGTGTGCTTGACTCGAACACCTACATTCATTCGCTTCTGCTTGAGTTCTTCCTTTATATTCTTTTTTCTTCTCTTTTCTTCTTTAAAAACTAAAATGTTTTCCTTTCTTTTTCCCCTTTCTTTTTTCCAAATTATTCCCCACTAACCATCTCATCCCTCTCTCTCTCGCTCTCCGGCCCTCACTCATTTTCTGTGTATGTCTGTCTGTCAGTCTCTCTCTCTCTCTCTTTTTTTTTCTCTCTCTCACTCTTCCTCCTTTTTTCATATTTTCTCTGATCATCTGTCACCTTTTTTTCCTTCTCTCTCTCTGTCTTCCACACGCTCGTACACACATAAGGACACACGCACACCATACACTGACCGCCTTTTCTCCCTCCGTTGTCTCACCCCTCCCCCTCTCTCAAGCTCTCCGCTCTTTCTATCTATATATATATCTCTCTCCCTTCTTCTCTCTTAAATACACACGCACACACACCCACATACTTTTCATCTCTCTCCCTCTTTCACTCTCTCTCTCTCTCTCTCTCTCTATCTTTCTCAAAATCTCTTTACCTCCCACTCTCCATGTCTTACATTTCCATGCAAGACAATACTCTCTATATTTAGCCCGTTTCCTCATCCAAAACATAGTGTGTTATCAGTATTTTCGTGCTGGCATCAAACATCATTACAAATACTACTAATCATAAACATTCTTTAAAACACATGATTTTAGGATTTTGTTTTCATTATTAGTCGACAAAATATTCACGTGTACTTTTTTCATTTCGGAACTCTAATCTGTTTTCTCGTCTCAGTCTCACTTTCCGTGCACCCTCTATCACCATTCCCTTTATTCTCACCTCATTTACCTATCATTCTCACCAGAGAGATGCGAGCACAGAAATAAATCAATTAGAAATTATATGATTACAACAACGTGGTTCTTGTAAGAAAGTGCAAGATGCGAACTTTGATCATGCTAGAATGATCATTAATTACTTCATTTAACACCTCTTCCGTACACACAGCCAATTCTAGGTCGAGCGTAAATTAGTTCCAATCATAATTTCACCCATATTTTTTGCCTTTAATTTTCCCCAAGTGGAATAAACTCAAACCCTTTGCCATTCACAAAACGTCTCACTCGCTCCTTAATTTCCCTCTTCTCTCTCTCTCTCTCTCTCTCTCTCTATATATATCTCCCCCTCTCTCTCTCCTGTTTAGTCGTTATTCTCTCGTTATCCCCCTCTCTCTCTCTCTTTCTCTCTCCAAACTCCTCTCCTCCACCCTCTCCAACAGTTTTTTCTCACTTTTTTCCTTGCTCAATATTTTACCATCGATTGGTGTATTTCAGACACTTTTCCTCTCCCAAATAAGATTCCCCTTTGTATAGATGTGCACTGTTAGCTTTCTGTTTGTGTATAAATCAATATTGCAATGAAAGAAAAAAAATGGACAAATTAATCACTCTGACTAATCTTTTGGAAATATTCACACAATTGTGGGAAATGAATATGAGAGAATAATAACATGTTCAGAGTGGCAAAGTTTCGGCGGGATGTGTTAGAAACGTGAAGAAGAAATCTAATTCACAACGCTATATTAGAATAGCTTGGCTTGAAGTTAGCAAGTGCTTTTGATTATTATCTTCACGAAAAGCAAGCATTACACAGTTTACGACCGATATGGTCTTAAAATGATTGTTTTCTTTTCTAATTTGTTGTAATATTCCTCTCTGTTTGTAAGTAATTTAAGCTTTGTATGATAATGTTCTCTCTCTTTGATTGTAAGTATTTCTTGTTTATGCGCTCCTGTATCCAATGAAAAGGGGCTATATAGATGTAATATTATTATCATAATTGTTATTATTATTGTTTTAAATAATTTATTTACATTCACTTTCTGATGAAGAAGAAGAGCTATCTTTTGCAAATACGGATGTTAATCCTTTAAATAGTGGCTAAATATGCATTACCGTTTTCTTTTTTATTATTCAACGTTGACAATATAATCATTTTAACTGACATTACTAAGTGAAAACTAATATATATGATTTATTCTCGTAGAATGAACTTTTACTTCAAATTATGTTGTTGTACTCCATTAGAGATTGATTAAACCATCTACATGATACGTCAATAAAAATCAATTTAAACCTCTTATCGGTCATTCTCTCAGTTCAAAATAAGTACGCGCTATTAAGGTCTCTTTCCGACCAAGCAGCACAAAATGTAATGTTACACCATTATTTCGTGCTGGTCTATTTAAAAGTGAATAGATGTAGAGCGGGAACCAGGAATTCATGATCTTAACAAAATTATCAACAGTCTATGAAATAATAGCAGCTGACATCAGGCATCCCGACACAATACATCCATACGTGCGAATCGAAGTATAATCTAAATAAAGAAATTGAAATATCTGACAAGAAAGCCTTCCTAGCTTTACATCGCTTCAGGATTTGGTCACCGAGAGTCTTCACAATGAATGTCTTTGAATAGGACCATTATGCAATTTTGCACGAATTCTCTCTTCTTCTTTTTTGGCTTAATACGCCGGAACCTTTCATCCTATGCCGAGTAACATTTCAATTATATTTCAAATTTCTTTTAAGACATCACGGCCCGGTCGACCCAGCGATATGAAAGGCGTGCCGACACCATTACCATCATCAAACCCGTATTAGCAGTAAAGAACTACATGTATGTGCGGATAAAGCGTGCCTTTCTTGCAAACCGTACTTGTTATATTTCTTTAATATTGTCAGCACATTATAGTTTTCATACTTTTAAACTGAAAAAATAAAGGAGACTACTTTGTCTATTGAGCTATTATATTA